CCCCAAGGGCGTAAAAAAGGGGATGAAAGTTTGTATGAAAGTTTGTCAGTTTTAAGCCGATCGGATTGAAATTTGGCATGCAGATAGATGTTATGACGTAAACATCCGCTGTGAAAGGATTTTAATAATTTCCACCCCCAAGGGGGTAAAATAGGGGATGAAAGTTTGTATGAGACTTTGTCAGTTTTAAACCGATCGGGCTAAAATTGGCATGCAGATAGATGTTATGACGTAGGCATCCGCTAAGAAAGGATTTTGATAATTTCCACCCCCAATGGGGTGAAATAGGGGATGAAAGATTATATGAAACTGCCAGTTTTACACTGATCGTGTTGAAATTTGGCATGCAGGTAGATGTTATGATGTAGACATCCGTTATGAAAGGATTTTGATAATTTCCACCCCCAAGGGGTAGAATAGGGGATGAAAGTTTGTATGGGTCTTTGTCAGTTTTAAATCGATTGGGTTGAAATTTGACATGCAGGTAGATGTTATGATGTAGACATCCGCTATGAAAAGATTTTGATCATCTCCACCCCCAATGGGATAAAATAGGGGATGAAAGTTTGTACGAAACTTTGTTAGTCTTTATTCCGAAAATCACATAGCAACGAGGATATGCGTTAAAATTCCGGCACTCTGTATCTTTTAAATCACTGAATCCATTTGATTGAATTCCATTTGATAGAGGAGTTTTAATCATTGAAACCTCATGAGGTGAGCTCTGTACGGGTTGAAACCTGATTGTTGGGATTGTTTTTTTTTATACCCTAAGTACTGAATGAAGTCTGACGACATTTTTTTGTTACCGTGGAATGCCCCTTGGTAAAGTCTAATTTAAAAGCCTAAATTCTGCCAGAAGTCATTCTGCGCGGACGAAGTCGCGGGCAACAGCTAGTGAATAAATAAACTTACTCACAAAAAAATTATAGGAAAATTAATTTCGAAATTTTATATTTTTATTATTTATCTATCAACTTATGTAGGGTTATAAAATCATTCATTAATTTGGAATTATTCAGGAATTCAATGGAAAGCTAAATCTGCAAATTAAATTGAAACTTCGGTCATTCTGCCTATGTCTTGCACTAAAATATTTTTTGTAACCTACTGTCTATAACATACATGTATTACCGTACTTTGATTACCGTCAGCAAGTGGTCACACAATTTTATAAATAAAAAATATATTTTTGAAACAGTTTTCTTTACATTGCAGTTTTATAAAATATGTTGTTTTTAATAATAAATCACCGTTTTCTGTTATGTACGACATAGATATAGACATAATATACATTTTGTATATCGTATTCAATAAGGTAATTCTAAACAGTAACATTGTATGCAATATTAGTGCATCTACATAATTATGAATAGTGTGAAAGTACCGTAACAATGTACATGAAATAGATTTTCTGAAGAAACGCTAGATAAACTTTGAATGTTGTTACAGAATTGAATGATAAATAATATTGAACGCACGTGTCTTAGATATTATAGAGTTTTATAAATAGATATACAATAGTTTTATAATATATGATAAATAACAGCAAGCCACGAATGGAGCGAATAGATTATCTCTTTTGAAAACTATTTATATACATCACGGGGCAAAAATATTTGTATGAGTGCTCTATTTCTTAAAAAGATCTATTATCCTTTTATCTGTTGAAATACCGGCTCCCGGTATAAAACACATTATGCCCGCAACTTTCAACAGACACGAGATTGCATTAAGTCAAGTTTAAAAAAATGACTTAAATATCTGCTTCGGCAGTCAAAATGGCTTCCGTCACGGAATAGATGCACGAATAAAATAATCACGATATGAAAGAATAGATAATTTATTTACAATATTCGTTAGAGTATTTAATAATCACGTTATTTATATAAATTCATGAGTACCTACCTACTTTGTTTTTATTAGTTTTGCTTTAGCACTAATTTATTTATCTACTTTATTATTTTTAAATGAAGATTTAATACTACAATCACCAGAAATACAGTTTCTTCTGGCCTCTATTGTGTATCTTGATATCTCTTTACCAATAGATGTTTGCATCCCATTCGTTTCTATATTGGTACGAAAGTCCTGATTATCTATTTACTTGTTAATTTTTTTATCTTATTTATTGAGGAACCGTTTATGCCATAGCACTTGGGGACTCAACAAGACACAGATAATAATTATTTGACATACAACACGATTTTCCACGATTCTTCGTTTATTGTTATTTAAAACCAATATAGTAGCCATGCTCCTATTTATAAATAATTTTAATTTTAATGAGATGAAGTCAAAAAGCCACCAAAACATATTACGGTGATATGAATATTTGAAGCTTTATGAACAAAGTCAAGAATTAATGTGAATATTTTGTTTCATTTAACTATTTAAAAAAAAAATGTACCTACACACTTTCTGCAAGCACATTTATGTAACTGTGTCTTGTCAACTTACAAATAATGAACACTGCTAATATATTACGCTCACTCTTCGTCATCCTTCCTACCGTATTCAATTAACCGTCAAATATTTAGAATTATGAAATTAGCGTTTATTCATTAAAAGGATAAACCTTTTTTAGGTATAGTAGAATGTTTTGTCATATTTACTTAAATTCAACTTGTAATACGAAAATGGTGTCAAACTTTTTTATTTATACGATAAATGGGTCTTTGTTTTATATGAATATCTCAGTAAATATATGCTAACTTAAGTTGGTATACTATACATAACTTTATCTTCAAATATTACCAAATGTTCTTCACACAATTTTATTAATTCACACGACTCTACATCATTAATTGATGAATAATTGTAATAATCTAGTATATAGTGTTAATTATCTGTATTGCTCACTCCTAACCTAAGCATATATTTAATATTGGGAAAATAATCAGAATTATTATTGCACCTTACGGACATTACGTAGACACTTCCTGGTTAAACTTGACTAGTATAAGTATCTGTTTTATCATATTAGAAGCAACATAGCATCAAATGATAACTTTGCGAGAAACCGATTTGGTATTATGAATAGTCGAAGCCAATTTATAGAAAGTCGCTACAAAAAACATACATTTTAGATTGAAACGAACGAGGCAATAGAACTGATAGCTGATTTCACTGCAGTAGAATATAATAATCAGTGAATCGTAGAGTAAAATAGAACAAAAGTAGAATTAAATTGAGAATGTTGTTAACTGGCATAATACGAATGATAAGGTTGAAACACACGACGCTAAAATATAAAAGATTAAAATGTTGGTTGTTTGTTTAGGAAGCTTAAATATGACCGAACTACATTTCTGTTGGTAGGAAATGAACATGTAAACAATACGATATTTTGCTGTTTCTGCTAACATTTGTTAATTGACTGAAACACGTTTTGTTCTCTCTAACACGCTTTATGAGTGCATAGTGATGTGCCATAGTCAATATCGATATATTGTAACAATTGTCACATTATACCTGTATACCTATATTTAATTTGTCGTAGCCTAAATACTTAAATAGTTTTTAATATTATTTGCTACTCATGTTGTTTGTGTACTTATGAACGATTACTAATATGTAAAATGATACCGAAAAATAAATGATTTTTCAAAAAAAACTGGTTTTATTTCAGGTCATTATAGAAATTTATATATTTATTTACTATTGTTCATTTTAACTAACCCTTTTCGTATTCCTTCTGAGCGAAAGAAATATAAAATATTTTGACCTCAAATTCAAATTAAACTCAAGTCTACTAGTCCTAAGAAACGATAATGGTAAGATTCGTTTACTCATTGTGTGATTCACAAATGACTGTTCAAAATTCATGGTCTAAATATGATAAATCTATCCACGACACAGGACAATATTCCTAGTGTGTGGCGTTATAAAAGAGAAAATAAGAACATGTGCACGATGTTATATGAATATTAATATTCATTTCAAATCTTTTATTGTTAATTCGATTAATTTAATCTATCACTTATAAGTTTGTCCACGTTTACTGAGATTTTACTAAATTATTGCACGGTGTCTAAAGTTGTTTCTGGTATATAGCAATAGGATCACCCTTATATCCACCATTACTGGTGAAAAGTGGCATTATGGGTCATAATATTATGCACCTTATAGCCTACACCTCAGAGAACAAAACAAAAAATTACGTTACCAAAACCATTAATAAAAATCACATTTTGACATTATACTATAACAAACTGTCATTTTAGGTCATATATTATGTCTTTAATGAGTAAAGGAGATAAAATAAAACTCAGCTAAATAATGTAGGTGTATAATAGTTTAATAATAATTAATTGATAGCACAATTGTACATATAATAATTAAGTACTTACATATACCAACAATAAATATTTAATTATGATGAAATAAAAGTCAATATTATATTATATTATATTTTACATTAAAACCTGTGAATTCCTTATGGACAGCATCTGGACGGACCGCTAGTTTATTTCAATTTTGTGCAATTTGAAAAGTTGATAAAACCTGAAAAACAAGAATAAAATTATATATTTATATTTGAAATATATAATTATACAAACGCTAGCACAGAAGTTATATACGATATAACATTATTTTTTAAAAGGTAAACAACGAAATTGGCTGGGCTTTATACTCGCTGTAGTATGAAAGGTAAAAATGTTACATAATTATTATACAATATCATATTACATTCGATATTCTATTCGCTGTCAAGTTCATTATTATCGGGACAGAGTATACAATTATACGTGGAAGAAAAATTTATCAATTTACCACCGAAATAGTCGGGAAAAAGCGCCTGCTGTTTTTAATTGTATACACAATTATTATATTATAAGGTGAAAGAAGGACAATGTGTTATATATATCCAAGCAGGTAACATAACTTAGAATACGCCAGCGTATATTAGGCTAGTAATAACAATTTAGGAATACATAATGATACATCACTCAAGAAAAAAGTATTTGTTTTTACCTTTTTTGGAAGTTAATTTGAAATCACCCAACAGCATGCAGATGGTCCGGTTTTTCTCCCCTCTCGAAACGTGTCCACATCTTCTGATAAAGTGCTTCAAGCCCCCGGGCGTAGTGCTCACAGTCGAATAGAGTGCTTTCTAAACGTGCTTTTGAAACCTTAGCTCGAATATATCTTCGGCTGGAAAATATAAAATATAGTTATTGCAACATTTAGTATTAGATTTTAGTCTGTAATGAATTACACATATAGGTTTTCTTTTCTTGGGTACACGGGCAAAACCGCTAGCAAAAACTAGTAATTTTGTATTACTTACTAAGTTCTATTTGTTCCCAATTTAACAGCAATATCTTCGTATTGTCTTTTACTTATGGCTATCAATTCCGGACAACCCAACGCATTTAGCTGCGACGCCGCAACACTGTAATATAGAAACACACGTAAAATATACAATGTAGGAGATTTTGTTTTTTTTTCTAAACTAAGATTTTCCTACGTTGTGGGTGCGTTTACGAAAACAAGTCCCACACACATATCACACTCGACTCGAAACAAGTATCCGTAAATCATATATAAATATTTGTATCGTGAGGAAACCACGATAAGTAGTTCAGTTTGTGTACTCATTGCGTGAACCATGAGTCCAGTATATGAATATGAATTCTTCGTATAAATGACTAAAATTGGTATTAAAAGTAGTATTTCTGTATTTATTAATGCTAAAATTAATAGTAATTTACTATAAGTAAAGCATTGTATATTATACCGAGACGCTAAAGTTTCTCCTGGGAGTGTAACAACTGGCGTTCCTGCCCATAAAACATCCATAGCAGTCGTGTGCCCATTGCACAAAGGCGTGTCTAAACAAACATCTGCTAACTGTCCACGCCTCACGTGTTCCTCCTTGCATGCGATACTAGAAAATATGATCCGACCCGGCGGCAACCCTGCAAAATATTACATTCTTATACCCGATCATCAATCACGTCTATAGCAAATAAACAAATAAAGTCAGTACCTAAACTCTGGGCATATTTATGTACATTCGGTTCGCCAGCAGCGGGGAAACTTAATAGCCAGAGAACGCTATTCGGTACCTTTTTCAGTATGTTCACCCACATTTCCAAGGCTCTGGGGTCCATTTTGTACAACTGATTGAAATTACAGAAAACAACTGCGTCATCTGGCAAACCGTATTGTTTTCTCGATGTAAGTATTATATTTTCAAATATTTCTTCAGCAGCTGCTACTTTTTTATTGCAACTGTTTATTGCTAAACCATTATGTATTCGTCTCCCATTAACCACAACCTACAAAAATAACAAATTAAAAGTAACGGTTAATACAGAGAGGTACTAGAATATTCCTAATAAGGCCGCTGAAAATTACCTGTGTAAGCTTTGGATCCGTAATGGTTTCAATAACATAACTTGGAATGTTTACATCGTTTTCGAGAATTTCTATCGGTGTAGAATCCTTGTGTTTGATCTCTTTGACTCTTGAAGTTGTACTAAGTATTTCATTAATGTTTACGGCTTCTGAACAATTAATTAGAGCCATATTTGAAACAGACCTATTTTTGTCATCAGTTAAGACGTTGTAATATGTTTTTAAATGTGGAAACATTTGTTTATGATCTCCGACAAAATACGTATACGGCATAAAAGCAAACTTTTCAGTAAAATCCATTTCAGTGGACACGGGTGAAGATATTTCGTCGGTTATTACATAGTCCATGTATCGCGCACCACTCGTTCCCGGATATCCTAACCACATTACTTGAATGGGTGCGGGTTTTAAAGCAAAAATCTCATTCCGTGCTCCTTTAGTATAACCATTCATGTTTACGAGGATATGAATACCATCTCTGTGTATTATTTTTGCTGCTTCTATGTAACTAGATATAGAAGACAAATCAACAAAGTGCTCTGAGTCATTAACTATTCTACTACGGAATGTGGTTCCATCATCAAAGTTCAGCGCGTAGCAAAAGATTTCCACTTTTGATTGATCGTGAAGACCTGGTATTGACTGCATTAAGTGCGAAGTTGGATGGTTACCAAAATCACTGCTAACGTACCCGATACGTAATCGTCCGTTTAATTCCTTTTTATGCAAAAAGTTTACGTTACCTAAAATATTTACTTTCTCTGTGTATAAGTTAGCATGTCGCGTGGCTATCTCTTTCCTTGCTGCATTCGTTAATGGATATAAAATGGAATGATGTGGATGTACGGAAGTAAGCTTTTCCATGTTCAATTGTTCTTCAACAATAGCTGTAATGTTATTCATTCGCTCGTCGTAATCATCCCAATTACAAATAATTTGTAAACAATGTGCTAAATTACAATACGCATCTGGAAAATCTGGTTTGAATTTTAAAGCGGTTTTATAAGAATCGATAGCTTCATCAATTCGTCCCATATCTTTGTAAATACTTGCTAAATTGCAGTGCGCATCTGCAAATGTGGGGTTTATCTCTATTGCCTTCTTGAAACAGACAAGGGCGCCTGTTATATCTTGCAATTCTCTTAGAGTATTTCCCATATTGCTGTAAGCGTCAGCAAACTTTGGTTGAATATTTATAGCCTGCCTGTAATGCATCAACGCTTCGTGTAGTTTGCCTGTAATTACGATATAATAATAATTGTTTACATGAAATTCGCATAAAATTCGTTTCGTCTTTTATTGTTTATGTTAAAAGTAATTGTATGTTAACAAGTTATTACAACAGACGTTATTGTTAGCATTAATTTGTGTTTTGTAATAAGAGTAATAACGAATCTTAATTTGAGGAAGGTAGAACTAATGATCATAAATTAACAAGTGTTATAAAATAAGCAACATACATTTTCTTACGTTAAACGCAATACTTTTGTGCTAATTAACTTAGTGTTGAAGTGACTGATTGTTATCTGCCTTTTAATTTTACACTCGGTGGAAGGTCAACTGGCCGAAATTCGACTACCACACTCAGCGGCTACGATTAGGTTCGATGTATGGGTAATTTCAATAGTTTAAATTCTTTGCAATACAGCTATTATCAATAGTTTAACTTTTTCACTCAATACTGAAATGTCTGTGGCTGCACAAAAATGCAAAAAGTTACTTATTCAGTATTTTACTGAGATCAATAACAACGTGGTTGGTGAAAAATGTTCTGGAAGTGTAGATCTGTCTATCGTTTCGGAAAACACCAGCATGATTTATGTTATGCACTAAGTGTAATATCACATATACATACCTTGATGTTGTAAAAGAGACGCCAAGTTACTGTGAGTAGCTGCAAAATTAGGAAATACTTCTAAAGCCTTCATATAAAGTCTGGTAGCTTCATCTATTTTTCCTTGTTCTCGTTTTACGTTACCGAGATTGTTAAGAGTGTCAACATGAGATGGGCAAAGTCGCAGGGCATTGTTGTAGCATTCCTCCGCCTCGTAAACAAGGCCCTTTTCTTTGAGAGCATTAGCAAGATTGCAGTAGGCATCAGGAAAATTGGGCTGAAGTTCTATGGCCCGCCGGTAAGTTTCTATAGCTAGGTCTATAAATCCCTGTTTATAGTATAAGCATGCCAAATTTCCGTGTATCGCTCCGCTGTTCGGTGTCAACTTCAGTGATTGAAGATATACTGCTATCGCTCTGAAACGAACAGATGGCGAGTTACATTCCTGATGGTATGCTGACAATTTTTATTGAGTTTGTAACTAATAATGTGTTCGTGTAAAGATATTCTTATCTTGACAACTCTGCTTGCCTTTTAAATTATACATTGAATTAAGCAGTTATAGTAAACATTTTACTGCCTGAAAAAATATGGCTGCCTCGTTCGCCGAGTGGTCGCAAGTGCGATTGCCGGGCAAGGAGTCTCGCGTTCGATTCCCGGGTCGGGCAAAGAATTACTGGGTTTTTTACAAATTCTCAGTACCTAGTAGCATGGAGTCTAGAATTGTGCCCGGTATATGGCAATAGGCTCACTCTCTATTGCATGGGACTCATAACATAAATAGTAAAAAGTGGCTGTTACATTGTACCTCTACAGTGGCATTAAATGCCGTAATGTGCATCTCTGCCTACCGCCTACCGAGATAAAAAGGCGTGAAGTTATGTTACGTTTTGTGTAAAAGTATTATAATTAGTAAAGATTTAATACACATAGCATGATCAGGATATTCTCGACAGTAACCTTCTAAACTTTACACGGGCCAAATCATGTTCAGAAAACTATACTAGATATTTATGTACAAATTAGAGGAATGTGTTAATATCGAAAGTAGTTCAGGAACAACGACCGCCGACGCTTTTGTCGACATCACAAAGATGGGTTAAGGCCAATAACAGGTGCTTTGATATGACGAAAGAATTTTTTTAACTCCTGGCCATCGGGTAGCGTGTTTAGAGGCGACACAATAAACCACTCTAGGTCACTATTGACCTACTTTACCTCATAAAGTTTCCTTTTGAAGGCCTCATAATTACTTAGTTTTATATTTTAATATTACGATTGTCTCTCTAACATTTATTTAAAATAATTTTAGCGACGAAACCATTCCCGAAAAGTTCAGTTACATTCTAAAAGTTCAGGAGAAACTTCACAAACATTTTATTAAAATACTTTGATGGCGTTACCTATACGAATGTTTTTGTGATTTATTAATTGTTATTGTTTATTCAATAACCTTCTCTTCTATTTCTTTTTTAATTAATTAATTAATGAACATGATGGCGATTTACTTAATTAATTATTTTATTTTACAATAAACTGAAATGAAATTGACATTTCATTTAGACGAAATCCAAAACATCCAAAAAATACCTTTGCCAATTCAGTGGAGGGCTTATGGTTTGTATACTAATAAAATGTTAGTCATCAACAAACTATTGTTGACAACTTCCGGCCTGTAAAGTTGTTTGTTGTGTGTTACAGTTTCATCGCCTCCTGTTGCATTTACGTCATAATTAATTTGTTACCGATATATTTTGATTTTAAATTATAACAAACTTTTTATATACTGACCTCTTGATCTTATTTTTGAACCAGGTGATACACCCGTCTGACAGTTGTGTTGCCTGTGCGGTGAGCCGCGGCGGCGCGATGTTGATGACGGTGTACACGACGATGCATTGGTAATCCATAACACGGACATGTCCTCAGCGCGAGCAAGGTTGTACTGACAGACGCTAGACGCGAGTCAGGGCCCGCGCGCCACGTCACGCTGCGCGACGCGCCGCGCGCGCGCACCGTGCCAACTTCCCCGGTGCGACGATACGTCCACGCAAGTCGCGGCCTTCGTTTATCCGCGCGTTTATACACTCAAATCGTGAGCATATATCACAAGATCTATTAACGACGAGAAGACCATGCGCACACGCCATTTAGTCGCCTTCGCGTTATATTTACAACATCATTCGTTTCACCATAAAACATTCCCGCCGCCACGCTGCTCTGGAAGACTTCATCGAATCAGTGACGGTATCAAAATACGCTATCTTTACCAATTTACTACACAGATATTTTTTAAATAGATCCAAACTCCGTATAACTAGTTTGGTTTAAAAAAGTGAGATCCACAGTTTCTTACATTCTTCGTAAGAATGATCAGCTGTTCACACAAAATCAGCTGATACACGCTTTCGTATGTTTCAGCGTCTGTTGTTTACTTTTTGTCTGAAAGCTGTCACGAAGACAATAAACGGCTTGAGACGAAAAACTTTACTATAACTGTATACCTAATGCAAAAGCACAGTATGAGACTTTTTGACATTCGTAATGTTATGTGTAATTAAAAAGCGTGCATGTGCGACGGTACAGTAAATACGGTAATATCGATTTGCGAGTAAGCAAGCAAGCGACGGCGGCGGGTGGCGTGGCGACGCGACGGAGTCTGAGCGCGACTGCGGCCGTGGGCCTGCTTGCTGGAAGCTGGCACCCTACTCCTCCACAATTCTGTGAGCGGCTGCCCCGTTTGTTTACAACTTTCACGCGACTCCGAAAATCCTAACAGATTCTAAATTCATGTTATCCTTATTGATTTAGAAGTTAGTTTCGGCTTCAGTCAAGTGACAAAGATAACGCCCATCCATGCGCCACGGCTGTGTTCTACTGACCTATTTGTGGCTCTTATTTCCAGGGAAAATTAATTTGTCTAATATACTTGTCATATGATTATAATCAAAGTACAGTAATTTATTAATTTTGTAAATGGATGTTAAGATAATATTAGAAATAAAGTAAAATATTTTTAAAAAGTACCTCAACATTAAGTATATGTACTTATTAGGTTTAACTTGGAGTAGCATATTTATTTACTATAAATGATAATAAATAACCATTTTTAAGACAAATAACCGCGTAGTTAACTGTTCCGCGTAACGTAACCACTATTTATACGACATTGGCTACGATCTTGTTTCCACTCCCCACCTAAGGAAGGTAGAGATAGTCTTCAGTCGCCAACGATACTATTCACTCACTGCGCACCCTTGTTAATTATTTGCGTCATATAATATCTTTTTAAGAAATTGATAAATTGATATAATCAGCAATTGATATATCGATTTGACGGAATTATTTTAAGAGAAAAATGCTTTTCACATCCATTTTCATGACCCAAATAAATTAATAATAAACATAGGTAATTCTCCTTCTCATAAAAATTCGTTGGGATAAACCCAGCTAAAGATTTCCGTGACTAACTCTCAATTCAGCTCTTGTGTACCTATAATTAAAATGTAGAAGAAAAATATTGTTAATATTTTTAATTTAAAGTTAAAATTATATCAGACCGTCGTGTCTCGACCTAGTTATATGTGAGATTCTTGCAAATCATGTCAAGATTGCTACAAAATTGTGGAACACATCGGAATATATTTTTTTAAATTTTGGTCATAACCGGATGAAAGCAGATTAACTAAACACGTGACATCCAAAATTTCAATGTTATAAGCTAATTTTAAAACCACTCTTGTCGTTCACTTGCCAACTTTCATATGATTTTGACAGATACGTAAGTAGCTATAATTAAATTCAAGAAGCATTGCCAAGGACTAGCGTAATACCAGATACTACGTTCCGTATTTTAATCGCAACATAATTATGGCGATACATAATTTTATTTGCCATTTCGTTATACTTTGATATTAACTAATTTCACGATGTGAGCCGTACATTTTGATAGACACATAAACTTTTTGTAGCTCCATAACTTTAATTTTTGTCTATATCTTAAATCATTCGAGTTCTGGATACGACCTCATTTTTAAACAGTTGCATCACTTTGTTTTAAAAAATTAATGGTTTTATATTCTGGCGCCTTGCCAAACTGGAACCATAGTCTCAACCGCTCAGTTATGTGCAAGTGTTGACTGATAGTTTCTGATCGTTTGATTTCGACAGCAGTGATGCTGCGATGATACTTCCACATTCATTATTTACATTTTATGATTCCTTTACTATTTTAACACAAGTAATCAAACTGAACTAATTTATAGATAAGCATAGAACCCATATTTTTAAACAAGTGGAGTGTATACTAATTCTGTCAAAGCAGGCCAGTGTGTATTCCTATATTATTTGTATTTTCATATAAAAAAGTTTAAATTATGAATAACGATCACAACTCAGCTATAGAAAAGCTGGTTCAGCAAGTGACTTGGTACATTATTTAAAGATCATTTTAAGAAAAAAATAGGAATATTCAAAGACAAATAAAACAACAACGGGTACATTTGCTACAATAACTTTATTTGTGATACACGCACAAAGCAAATAATGAACTATTTACTAACGTATTTAGCCAAACACAAGCATAGTGTTACAGACAACTCTGACGTAAACTATGAATGTTAGTAACAGTAAACTATGAAATACCTTTAGGTACGTAGAGCTAAGTATAGATACGTCCGCCTACGAGTTAATTACACGATACAACATCCTACAAGTACACCGTGGAAGTAGATAATATTGTTATATTAACATCATGAAGTAAGCTGGTCGGAGTGACCTGATTTAGAAGCGTGACCTAGCATTAGCGATCGAAGTTATGGAAAGAGATGAATCATTTCTTCAAACGTCAGACTGTTCGGGTTTCTTTGACTCATGTCGCGGAGAGGCGCCGCGTTCTGAGGTTGGCGTGCTTCCGCCTGACGTGCTCTGAGGACTCCGCTCCTGGACCTAAACAAACATAATCATCACTAACTCACATTAAAATAACGTCTAATGACGTAGCACAAAGCTGACGTCATTGCGACTAATGTTTAGGTAACTACAGACACACCCAAATAGCTTTCACACTGTGAAGAAAATGTACGACATAAACTCCGTAAGCTTTACTAAACAATTTCTGCTAATATAAAATAAACATACCGACCTGACTTGTCTAGTAAATAAAATGATTATAAAATCATTGAGTCACTATATTTGTTACTGATCTAACCAAAGCATTAACTGTTTTATTGCTATTAAATTCTCTTGGTCATTTACAAATGTATGTTGTAAATAAACTGAAATTCAGCTGCATAAAGTTTCTGTTAAATATATTATTTTGTTAACAATTATTTTATTAATCTTGCGATTTTTTTTTAGTAATTACCTGCTTAACATGTTACTGTCGACGTTATATTTATAAATTCACAAACTGGTTCAAAGACAGTGTTATTATTTATTACAGTTTTTGGATTTCACTTTAGTGGACAGTGTCATGTCATTTACATTGACATCTTGACTTTCATACCATTTGTGTCACTGAATATTTTATGAATAGCTAAAGGTAAAACAAATACAAGTATTGATAGTTTTATTTTGATTACGGCATGATATATTCCCTTCGTGAAGGATAGACAGTGGGTGAACATTTGTAATGCTGCTGATCGTTTATCATTTAAGTTACGACAAATGGGAGCGCACCGTAACCAAACTCAAAGGCTAACAATTAACAGAGGAAAACTGTTGTAGTAGTGACTTTGTCGTTGTCACAAAATGGGTTTAACAAGAACAAAAAAGGACGGCGCCACAAAACGGGTCACATCAAACGGAAATCCGTTGCAAAATGTTGCGACTCATTCTACCTCGCTTAATGTCTGGGGTTAGTGATTCATTCAAATTCTTGTGACTTGCCGTTGTGGCCCGGCGCCATATAATGTACGATTACTTTTCGGCGGCATAAATAGAAAATACCACTTAAATTGCCATTAAAGTTTATGAGCACAAGATGGATACATCGAGTGCCAGCCATTCATCGCTGACTGATTGAGTTATACGCGATTAAACATTTACAGTTACATTTCTTTATTGTTCATTTAACAGAGATAAATTTTACGTAGCTTCTGCATAAATCATTGAATATTTTCATTACGAGGAGTGATGGTTACTCTTCAGTCGATTAAGCGTATGATTATTCAGTTCATCTTCCACAAGCAGAAGAAGACATTGAATTATGATGGAGTCTAAGTTAATAATCCAAAACTAAACCTATATTCTGTTATTACAAGGTGTCGTGATATTATAAAATTCAGCAGGAAAGAGGCCATTCCCAAACACCGGACATTAGGTACCTACTCCAGATCGCCCAGTATCGTCCAGTTATATATAATGTATAAATAACCAGCATATGCCGTAAAAATGTATCCAGCGTTGTTTTAATTACGTGAATCTCACATCTGTTGTCTTGTAACACGCAAGGGGAACGTAATGCTTTGTTAAATATCTAAAAAATTCATCATTCTTGCCACCTTTGATCTAGATCAAACGCAATTTGCCAACTTTTTACAACTCTGGACGAACACCAAATGGGCACCTACTTGAAACGAATGCGATTAAGTTACTTTTAAAAAGAAAAACTATGATTAACGGCAACGAACTGCTTTATATTTTATCGTAAGAATGTATTATATATTGCAGCAAATAGTACATTTTGCACATTGGAACTAATGTTTTCCAAATAATTTTGAGATATCTAAAAACAATTATTATTAATATTTGTGGCAAAAGCATCAGTTTTAATTTACCAACAAATTATAATGGCAACACCTACAAATTGATATTATTTACATGAAAGAGGTCTTCATTTGGCGTCGAGCGAAGTAAAGTAATTAAACTTCAATTACGCATGAGCTGAATATTTTAAAACTACATAGTCAATGTTTAGTACTTTTATCAGCAGTTTAATGGCTATAATTACGACTCTAATACAATAAATAACAGAATATGATCGTAAATTGAACGGGTGGATCGTATAAAAGATCTGTGTTCACTTAATATATTTGAATATTTTATTAGATTCTCAAGAAAACCACACACTATTGTAAAAATGTTTCTAGAACAAGAAAAACCTGTGAAACTCTCTATCCGCGAAGATAAGACAGTTTCTTCTCTTTTATTAAAAACATATATCTCTACTGTCGTATAGGAATACAATCTAGTAGAATCTGTCTTTAAGGAATGTATTTATTGTTTATTTCTTTTAGTCCTTCAGCTAGTTATAGGTAAGAAAATTCCATTATAATATAAATGAAGGTTGTATAAAAAGTAAGCACGGAACAACGATATGTGGTCACGCACAAATATAAGTTTTATGATGCAATCGATTTTATAAAGCATAACCCACTTGAGGCGTTTTAACACTCACTATTTATGATTTTATTATTACTTTGTAGAACTGTTCTTCATAGTTCGTTAAAATTAAACAAAGTGTCAATTTAGATAATACTGGCCGCTGGATTATTCAAAATGCTGACTTCTATTATGTAACTTTTTGTGCCATTAAAGGATTAAGCAGGTATTTTTGTCATCTGTTAAACAGAGTGAAGTTTAAATCTTCTTCCTAAGTAAAAGTTGAGTCTTTTAATCATAACTGTCTTTAGATCTTAGGTATTCGTATAGACTATGGTTACGAAGTTTATTGGTGATTACCTAATGGTTACCAAAAAACTACTACACTAATGTTCCTACTGCAAAGGGCTTAAATACGGAGAAAAGATTCCTTAATCAATTCTAGCATACCTGGAGCCCCGTGTGGAGCATGTTAGCAATTGTTTCAACATCTAGCGTGGAGTCCTGAGCAGAAATTTTCTTAATCGCTGAAGATACGATGCAAATGTCGCCCCGCAACTCTCTAACCAAGGCAGTAATCTTCTGGGCGTTACTTAGCACTTCCACACTTTGAGTGTATGGATTGTACCGCACACCGAAGGGTCGTTGTATGCTGTCGGCAAAAGCTCTGTGGAATAAAAACAAGTTTAACGTCTGAAGTACATGTTTTCAGTTTAATTACAAAAGTTTTACCAGGTACATATTATGTTTGCTCATCAATGAATGATGCTGTAAGAACGCGAGAAGACGTTGTTTCAAAAGTTGCTACCGGATAGCCTCGAGCGTTTTGGCATAGGTACAATATTAGTTTTCAAGTAACATTGTTAGTTTCCTTTTACCTACACTTCGAAAGCTTTTAGATATGTACATACTAAATTTAAAAATGTAAATTTCACTAAACATTTGTTACGTTATTTTCAAACCATTGTAAAACGTGCTAAAGTGCTAAATGAACTTTATTGCTTTATTTTGTATATTATTCTATCAACATTGTTTTTCTCAATAACTTCTCTTGCTGCAAAATATATTCATTTGTATACTATCATTGGGTTCATAAAGAATGTTGTTTTATTTTACTACGTAAGTAATTTAAAAGTAAATCGATTTATATAAATCACCAGAGTATAGAAATTTAGAGAGGAATATATGATGAGCTTTGTATACTTGCCTCATTTTTTCCTTCGCCTCTTCAAATGAGTCAGTGTAGTAATACGCATTTTGATAAGACGTAATAATACATTCCTCGTTGACTGTCACTTCAGGATCAAAGCGTTTGATTTTCTCAGGAGTAACCAGAGCATGTTGGAGTTCGGCCACAGAGGACAGCAGACCAGCTCCATACACTCTGAAGGTTCCGTCAGTTTGCCGACACAAACCAAACTCGACCGTAAAGAAGTAAAGCTGAAAAATGTTACCACGAATTTAGAGTGAAGGATCTCCTGAAAAGCTAACTTAAATTTCTAGTAAGAAGCTATTGTAGACTTTGAGTCTAGAACTAGGAATTTAGAAATCAAATATTTGTATTGTAATGAATTATACCCAAAATACGATCTCAGAACCTGTCCTACATTTTATCAATTATTAGATTCAAAAGTGGCCATGGTATCCATGGTGGTATCATTGTTTACATGAATGTACTTAATGGAACGAATCTAAAGATTTATACTTCCTGATTTCGAGTAACAAAATAATTCAACTCAACATTTACGTCGCTAATACAGTCACAACTGTAAAATGTCGGTTGAGGTGTTTAGTTTATTTATATTACGCAGTACATATCTACGATTGTTTCACATCAGAATAGACTTTCAGTTGAAAATTTTATCAGTACCCATATACTCGATGGAAAACAAAAAGTGAATATAAAGCATTTTGTTCATAACAGGTACAATAAATAAAATTAATATATAAATGATGTTCGGTTGGTTACACAACACATGTATGGTTACCGTCGCCAATTTGTCGATGTCTTCGTCGGAAGCGCCGAGGGATGCGAGCCCCAGTTCTTGTGAAAATTGCGCAAAGCTAGGGTTGGCAAGCAAAGGCATATGTCCTAATAGCTCGTGGCAGCAGTCACTGCAACAACAAAACAGATAAACTGAATGACTGAATTTTATTTTGCGAACATCTGATCTCCAGTGGCCTATGACTTCATTGTGTTAACGGATAAGAAACTGAAAGAGGCTTTGTGAAGGCCAATACTTACGGTTCAGGGGTATAAAATGGATCCGACGAGTGACGAATATACTGTGTGCAGTGGAACACCCTGAACGCCAAACCCGATAAAAAGTCCCTAGGTGAAAGGTAACCCGCAACGGGCCGCAGTTGGAATCCAGTTTTACGTTTGAGGAAAGCGCTCACGTCCTCCAACTGAAAATAAATCACAATTTCAGTATAGAAGCCTTCATGATATTTGACAATTGGCTGTACGCCAAAAGGTTCAACGTTACGACCTATACAAAACTGATGTTTATGTATGTTTTATTTAATATCGATACAATAATAACGTTGGAATTGAGATGGTGTAATAATTTATTGACAAGGTTAATAAAAGTAAATCTCATCATTATTTATATCTCATATAAAAAGTTATTTAAAGCATTGTTAACATTAGTAGCGCATGATGTTTTGTGACTGTTATTATAAAATAGACTCATACGATATTGTTTTCCATCCAATCATCGTTCGAACTAAAGTTACCTGAGGCAAATTATCTTCCCGATAGCCACAATACTTGACGAGTTGGGGCCAGTTCTCGAGATACTCCTCACATGCGTGCTTCTGGTAAAGTTTGTGAAGTTCACGGAACACGATGCCCCTGTAACGAAGATACAAACTTCGTCAACTACATGGGAAGCAATAATGTCCACGCTAACTAGATGAGATGCGCTCTCGAAACTTCGAAGGCGAGGACACACATAATTAAGTTTGATAGATGGCTTTCCTAGGCAAATACGAGCAACAAGTAACAAGTAGGACCGCCAATCAAAGAACGATAACTAACATTATAGACAGACATTGACAGTTGCTGATCTATCGACAAGGTTCTAAAATTAAATTTTAGCAGTTTTAGCAGTCCAAATCACATTAATATTCAAATACATTTTTCCTGAACAGCTGTCAGTATAAAAAGCCGTCGGTTTCAGTAGTGAACCAGTGGTGTTTGTCGAAATGAATTATATTCAGTGAAATACGATATTCAGAAAAGTCTGGTTGGAAAAGAAGAGATCAAGAAATGACGTAAAAACAATTCCAACCACGCAAGCACAATTTAAGTATAAATCGCAATTTTTCGTTGGTCGATTTGGATACATTTTCCTCGCAAGAGCAAACCACCGCTGGGCTAGATATAAACAACCACTACTTATTGATAGTAAAACACATGTGCGTACAATATTAAACAAAACGTGCTTTTAAACAAAGCGTTGTAACAATTAATATGTTAGTAAACACTTACCATGTCTTTATTTCAACGTCCGTATATTGTACTTTGGGAATGGGTTGACCACTGTAAAATAAATAAATTAATTAAAGACTTATTTACCTAGTGGTATACCTAGCCTACCTATCATATACAATTTAAATAAAAAAAAGTATTATAAAATTATATTCAAGTTCAAGTTTGAACATGCAAGTAAGTAGTTTGTTTAGTTGGTCATGTAATTAAGCTGCATTTACTTTTATTATAATTAAGTTAAATTACCATAGCTTCCCTCTAGAGGATGGTCATTTAGCTTTCTTTCAACAAAAAAAAACCTAGTAGGTAGCTTGGCAACTGCTTCAGAACAACAGCTTATTTAGGAAACCGAATCGGTGACCCATATACGGTAGTTCTGTCCACACTATTTATCCATATGGGTCATCCAATTACTTAAGGTAAGTACATCCTACCTACTGCATTAATTCATTGAATTGATTTTATTAGATGTCAACACCTAACTTGAGTGCGAAGAATTCTACTGCCAATAAAGTGTTGGTAGCTGCCGGCGATAAAAGTTTACAGTATAAACGATAAATTGAACTCAAGTAAAGTATACGTACTTCATTGATAAAGCACTTTTGAAACTGTGCTTACAACTTTGAACACTTACTACTTGTAGTTGTTGGCAATGGCTGCAAATTGTTCTCGTCGCTTGCGGTAAACTGGATCTTTGAAGCCGGGGTGGTCGGCATCAAGCTCGGAGCCATACATCAACACGTTTTGGGCTCGGTCCAGGTCAGATATTTTACGAGGAAACCAATGCATCTCCCCAAAATCTGTAAATTCATTCTTAATTTAAAAACTTTTACGTATTCCATGAATATTTATTAAAAGTCATTCAATCACAGTATCCTTGCCTTGATTTAAAATTTAAATAAACCCTCTATTACATGAATTGATATTTATTCAATGAAGACACCGGAGTAATGTGAATGAAGAAGTACTTTAAAAACAGTCAACACTGTTTTAATGATCTTCATTAAAGTAATTTATGAACAAATAATTAAAAAAAAGACTCGAATCAAATATTATTTTATAAAGTAAATTCGGGATCAAAGAATCTCATTGAGTTCTCTAATTACAAGTCAACAAAAATATCTAATGACTTGTCAGTAAATATTAAAGACAAAATATTCCATAAAATATTCCCGGTTCAAGTTACACGTTCATTATTATCAAAGTTAACATTTCTTTTTACAAAAATCTGTTATTTACTTGTTTCAAACATATTAACTATTCAGAAATGTTAATAATTACCGAAGCTAGCTGCAGCAGATAACGGAGTCGGGGGTGGAAACTCTTCACCAGTTTGAGATGACACCACTTCGAAGTCTTGAACTTCTCGTTTGAGCATCCTCTTCAATTGCTCCATACGATGAGGATCACACTCAACATCCACCAAAATGTCAGACTAAACAAAATTACTTAAAACTATAAGTTTTTATGGAAAATATTTCTAATTGATGATCCTTATTTTACTTATATTAATGTACTCATATCACAATATTATTGAAAATTGAAAGTATTTACTGTGGAAATTGTACAAAATATGGACGGTAAGGTACCCTAAAAGTAATTAAATAGGGTATAAAAAAACTAGAGAATACAAAACCATTAAGTAAAACTTACAGAAGAAACTTCAGTTACAGATTTACGGGACTCTATATGGAGGACATTGATGCCAAGGTCTTGGAACACAGTCAGAGCTTTGACCAGTCCACCGACTTGATTCCTCAACGTAAATATCACTGAAATCCTCTCGCTCTCTGATGGCTGGGTCTGCTGTCGAGCCGCCATGTTAAGATCAGCAAGTTTGGGGTGATGATGGGCTTCATTTTTAACTTCCCATTCCGACCCATTCCTATAGAGCCAAAGTCCCAAGAGACCCTTTCCTGAACCACTCATATTGATTTCTGAAATTGAAACTTACATATATTAAGTTAATCTAAATAAATACTGAAAAGCACTGATTTAAAATTATATATTTACAAGTTTACGAGTCGTGAATGTATGTATTTAGACCACTGATTTTGTACTACAGTTTAGACTAATTGGGGGATGTATCACTGCAACGACTGGGACATACTGCGCCTTTCCTTGGGATCTGTTCGCTTATAAAGAGAAGAGGCGCGGGAGACTCGCCGGAGGGTGGGTATATTTGATTGGCTGAATCAAGTGTTCGGAGTAACTTGGAAAATGTTCTCTTTTCACACCGTAAAGTCACGGACACACTTCGGCGACGTTTTATTTGTTTTTAATCCTGGAGCTTATAAATGTCGTTTCGAGAAATGGGACAGGGCAAAAAATATTTTCAGAATATCATTTTTATCTTATGTAAACACTTTACTCAATTTACTGCCTAATACTGAATAAATGTTTACTTTTTTTTTTCAAATATAGATTTTAGGTACAGTAAACATTTTCACGTATTATTTGTATTGGAAATATCAAATACAATGACAATTGTGAAATAATATTTTGTTGTATACTTAATTAATAAAACTTTGGCGTCGAGGCGATAGGTGATATTTTAACAAATTGATGAAGCACAATAGGATTATATATTTCTACCATTTATTTTCTTTTCGGACTTCTTATTATTGACATATGAAAGTAATAATAGATTTTTATAACACATGCACCTTTATTTGTATTTTAAAATGTATCAAAGCTTTACATTTTCAATTAAGATTTGATTTTTTTTATCATGTTTCAACTTATTATCCTGGTATGTGTTACTCTTCATTTTAAACACTTTAAGTATGGGTTGTTTCATATTGCTGAATAGTCACTATTTACTAGATCAAGCATATAGAACGTAAAACAGGTTCTTGACCTTAGTATATGTACATAACTTCAAAAAAAAATGTATTTAGATTAATAACACAATTTAAGGAAAATGTTTGAAAAGAGTATGAAAAGTGATGATTTTAAAATCTTTATTACTTTTAAACCAAAGATTATTTTGTCAATCGCCATACTAAATTCAATAAAATGTGTTAAGGTAAAAATCTTTTATAACCGCTAACGTGTACGTGAGTTTATATGGTCGCTACCCACACTAGCATAGTTTCATCTATAGGTGTAGCTGAACACAAGTCTGCAACCTCGTAACCGTTGGCTGACGGGCGCTAAGCGATTCAGTCACTGTATTTATTACCATTGTTTAGCGAAAAGAGCATCCCCTATCATTCATTACGAAGAAGGGAGCTGCGCCATTTATTCACCCTATTTCCTTAGTATAGATAGATATTCTTAGCTAAAGAAATAAGTTGCCTACTTACCATTCATACATATCTGCTACTCTGTATCTCTAGATCTGGTCATTGGTCATTGAACTACCTATGACTTTCGATATTTGAAAAGTTGTGACTATACCTCTACATACCTCATTTTAAAAAGATATACATCCAGAATCAAGAAGATAGCTGTCTAAAGTATTTTACTTAATTACTTAGTCAACATAATTTGGATTGCAACAACGTCCAGATTAAAATTTTGGTAAGATACATACATGATGTACATAATTATATCTCTCACTAACATCGTTGGACATAGGGAAATTAGATACGACCCTCATGTGGTTTCAGCATGACTATCACAAAAGCTCATTCTGGTGTGACGTTTCTCTTTATCTTGACTTATTCATGCCTCGTTACCCACTCCACAGTAAAATTAATGTAACAGGATATATGTATGTGTGTACTTGTTCTAACTATTCATGGATCAATGTGTAATACAGAAGTATTTTACAATTTGTCTTTCAATTTCTTACGCTGACCTGTTGCTGAATAAGTGATTCTTAACTGCAAAATTAGAGATTTTGGGTTCATTTCCTGGAAAAGGCAATGTATTATTTATTGAGTATTTTAGGTTTAATTACATAAAATCGTAGTACTCAGAGATTGGGTGGGTTTTCGGTGTATGATAATATGTTCGCCCCTATTACGTAAATTGGGAAAAATTTAGTGTTACGTTCACATTGACTATGCATCTCTACCTAATCCTTCGGGGAACAAAAACTTGTTTTTTTTTTGTAGGACCGGCGATGATTTTTAACTATTCACAGTGCTTGTTGGCACTGGCAACACAATAGAAGTGACAACTGTGTTGCCAGCTTTTAAAAATGTGATGATATGATTATTATATTTAGTCGTGGTATCCCAGAGGAAGGCACGGCTCTCAAATAAGAGTAACCTGGCAAGTACTTTCTTTGGTTATTTAACCACCAATGTCAAACGATGAAGGAAAATATTGTCAGGAAACCGGGATTTCAAATTTCCAACTTTTTAAAGTTTAATTCGCCAACTCGCCTTGAGCTCATTCCCTGTCGTGCACAGCCAGTCCTCGTCATATTTTAAGTTACAGCAACTTAAACTTTCGTTGGATATTGTTGTTCTTAAAATCTATATATTTATAACCTAGCAACCATATAAAAATCTGGTAACTTTGTAAGTTCAAAGAAAAACTTGATTCAACAAATATACATGTTTATGACGTATATCCATTTTTCTACTCTGTTACATTTTATGATTTGAAACTTTCATAAGTTATTGCTTTTCTTATTCTTTTTAACTTAAGTGTATTTTAGTAATCTCTATTTAAATAAAGCAGGCAGTAGTATTTTGTTAACAAACAAATAAGTCTTTGAAAGTAAATATATAGATATAACTTCAGTCGCCGACGAGGGCGCTTTTAATTCAATTTCCTTGGAGACGTCTTCCAAGCGCCTTACTGATTTGCAACGATTTGATGTTTGTTACTTATTATGTCAGTATTCATCTCCTTTATCACAAGTATTATATTGTAAATACAGCTTTATTGCTTTATACAAAGACTTCAGTTTGTTTTGTTGGGTTTGATTAAAATATCAAGTTTCGCTCTATTTGTGTTTGTTTCTCTATCACGTAATCAAGTGAATGAAGTTGTTACATTAATTATAATGATAAATTAAAACATTCTTTGACTTTAACGCATCTGTTACTGTTGACGTAAACTAGCTACTATGGTTCTATTTCATTTTTAGTTCATCAATATTTTATGTTACAGTTTCATTTAATTGTAAACAGTTACAAAATGATGCTAGCAAGTTTTTAAGAGGGATTTGTTTACGATTCAACGTGTTACGCTCCAGAACCTGGTATGATTCCAAAAAAATATGAGCTTCGTATCATTCTGCAATTTTTACTGTTTACCAGTTACAACACGTTTTATCTTTTTGAATGTTTTCAATGTAGAAGAAATATGTGACATGGAATTTGGGAACTGAATAAGAAATATTCCTATTAATATAATATTAATAATAAGAACCGGAGAAGAATCGATTCGAAGGAAGGAATCGAAGGACAAAAAAAGTTAAATTAATTAAATTAGTTAAATTTATCAATTGTTCTTTACCACATAATTGCATTTGTCTCATGGTAATGGCATTGTATTACGCGATGGAATTTATTTAGACATAGGTTAAAGTACGAACAAAAAGCTCCTTTGAAAAACACGTACTCACTACATAAGTACAAGTATCTGTTAAAACATTGTTGAATTATTAGTGTCGCTAAAACTCAAAAACGACTGAACCAATATCGCTAATTTTGATAATTTTAATCTTCAAATTTTCAGAGTCCAGGGCAGGATTAAAGGTCGAGAAAAAAATTTTAGGCGATACGCTGTTTGCTGGGTCAGCAAGTAAAATATAAAGTAGCTACTTCTGATGCTGATATTATGAACAATTTGTTTTTTGCTGGTGCGGCCTTTGACTGCCTACAGTAAAACGTTGAAGGCAAATCCTCGGCTAACGTAGGTCACCGGCGACCTACGCGGCGGTTACCGTGTCTTAAACGAATATTTTAACGTGTTTGATGTCTTTGTCTTAGACAGAGAGCTTAGAGATAGCATACATTTGTTAGAGGTCTGTGGCATATATGCCAGAATCATTAATAGAATGCGAACACCAGAACAAATAAGTTTAGAAAACAATTTGGCAATATTGGTTGGCCTTAAATACGAATAGACGTGCATCCCACTTTTTAAATCAAAATAATCTTTTATTGTTATATATTTCTCCCTATACCATTCGTGGTTTGATTGTATTATTCTTGGGAACATACCAAATACAAAAAGGTCTTCTTATTACGGCGAACATGTGCGTTATCTTGGTGTGTACAGATTTGAGGTGAACAGAGCTAACTATTTCAAGATATGTCATAAATGTGCATTTCCAATTACATATTTTTACTAACTCCCACTCCCAGACCAACTCCAAAAAAGGGAGTTCTTAGGTTTTAACCGAATCCTGAAGGATTTTTATAATACCTATGCTAAAAATAAACATAGTTTGCTTATTATGAAATATCTTCTGCGGAAAACTGGTTTAAAATAACACCACACTGTATGAGCAACAACGTTAGTACTCTATTAGTTACCATAACTTACTTTAGTCGCAACCTATTTACAGGTTGCTCTACTTAGGATAATATTTATCTAGGTTAAGACTGTTATTTTCCAGGTTGTTGCAAGTAAATATTGTTCAAAGTATTATTGTTTGGACTACAATATAATTAAAATTGCCTTGTTAGTCAATAAAATCTACCAGGTATCTTGTCAAATTCCTGTCAAAATTATACCTACTTGGGTACCTACCATATCAAACTAAGGTATCTTATCTTGTCAACCTTCTGTCAAATCTATACCTACATGGGCACCATAACAAACTGAAACAGATATGTCCATATTTTCATTTAGATGCTGTCTCATCATCATCATCATCAGCTGGACTAAAGCCTCACATAAAATGGAGAGTTTATGACAACCTACACATAAATCCTCCCCGCTTCTTGCGGCTGCAGGTTCCAGGAAGATAGAGAATAAGAGCTGATTAAAAAAGGTAGTAAAAGGCTACGGGTAGA